GGGGGGCGCGTGAGTTCGGTTCAGAGCTAACGTCAGGCCTATAGAGTTGGCCCCGAAAACCGGCGGTGTCTTTTACCCTGATCACTTCTTTACAGTTCGGGTGACAGAGCACTGGCACAGGCTGCCCAGGGAGGTTGTGGAGTCCCCTTCTCTGGAGATTTTCAAAACCCGCCTGGATGCAGTCCTGAGTAATGTGCTCTGGGCAATCCTGCTTTAGCAGGGGAGTTGGACCAGATGATCTCTAGAGGTCCCTTCCAACTCTGAAATTCTGTGATTCTGTGGGGGTTTTTGAAGGGACTATGTACCATAAACTGAATTTTCTTGTTGGAGTCCTGTGATTTTTTTTTTTTTTTCTTTCCCAGTTGCTGTCCCGCTTTTCATATTTTGGGTAATGTTGCTGCTGCCAAATACTGGTTCGTGTTACTCTGTCCTACGTGTTCTGTTTCTTTCTTGGATATATCTTTTTCCCTACTCAAATGTTCTGTGTCCCTGCCTGTTACTTTCACAAAGTCTTTTCTGTGCAGAACTTTCCCCGCTGTTTTGAAGTGGGTATCATGCAGGCTGCTGGACAGATAAGTTCTGCTGTTGTCACTTTTGTCGGTGGTCAGGGCCGGAGTAGCATTGTTGAAAGTGAAGTCTGGATTTGACCAACTGCTGGTAGACTGACGTGCTGTCTGCATGTCCTTTGGCAGTTTGTATCTAGAGCTGAAAGGAAGCTGAAGCAAGCTCTGTGGGAAGGAATCGCAGGGGAACTTTAAAGCTCTGGCAAATCTTTATCACGTATATGTAAACTGGCCCTTTCTGGGTGTGTGATATGACCGAATGTGAGCGACTTCTGTGTAGCTGGTAAAAAGCACGCCCTTGTCAATGTTGAGATCGTATTTCAAAAATGAGCCACTGTTTCATTATAGAAAATCTTATTTTTGTTTCCTTCAAACCAGGTAAGCATTTCTGTATGAAAATCCTAAGTAGATGCAGACATCCAGGGAGAGGCATCCAGAGATCCAGGCATCCAAAAATTTTTTTTGCTCTTTGTATCCAGTCATAATATTTTTGGAAAAACTGTGAAGATAGTGCTTGCCAAATGAATATTTTTAAAACTTTTTGTTTATGGAGCAGTTATTGCTCAGATCTCTTGTTATTTCAGTGGTATCATGAACGTTATCATTTTAATGACTTAATACCTAAATAAACTGATGATTAATTAACTGATGATTAAAAGATTAAATAATACTATGTGAACTGAAGTGCAGGTACTCGGATACTAAAATATTTCAGTGATTTCTGCACCCATATAAAAGGAACATGCCTGTAGATGGAAGTCTCTTCCTACTTCAGCATGCTTTATCTTAAAAGCAAAAAGTTTGGAACAAGGATTAAGTGTAAAACTGCTAGCCTAAGAGTCATCAGAACACCCAAGTTATGAATACTGAAGCTACAAATTAGTCTTCCTGTAGAGGCAGGATAGCTAGTCTACAGATCAATATGCTGTAGACCAACAATAATCGAAGCCTGAAAAAAACCTCGAGACAGTCATGTGAAGTTTTGAGTTACTTGTCGGCATTGCCCAGATGTGGTGGTCTGGCGAAGAAATCCGGTGGCTAACTGCAGGAGGGAGGCAGCAGAGTCCCCAGACCATTGCTCTGTTCACGAGCACAGGTGAAGGAGGCAGGTTGAAATACCTGTTCTACTGGTCAAATGCCATTCCTGTGGCCTAAAGCAGCTTGAACTAACAGGGTAGTTACGCTCTTTTGGCCATACAGAAAGGAGACATCTTACTGCATGTTAGCAGTCTCATCTATCTGAATCAATTTCATGGAGGACTCGTGGATACAGCAGATGGTTGATTTGTTACAGTAATGTCTTTGTTGCCCCACCAAGTTTCATCTACTGTAGCCTTTGCTTTTGTACAGTTATTTGTAACGAAGTAACTAAAATTGGTCTCCTAAAGGGTTTGAAAATACAGTTGACGTTACTTATCCTGAACTTTAAGTATTTTGAATGTCTTCCATAAGAAAATAATTTTGCAGACTTGCTTTGAAAAATTTTCAAATTAATGCATTATATTTTAAAACATTTGTTACAACAAAAAAATTTGTAGTGCCGCTTGACAAACCATACTTCTTAGAAGAAAGGTATAAATGTCTGTTTTTTTTAAAAAGACAATTTCTTGGTTTTTGTTCTCAGGTGATCACTGGAGGTCATTATGATGTTGACTGTCGGTTGGAAGATCCTGATGGCACTGTATTGTACAAAGAGATGAAGAAACAATATGATAGCTTCACGTTTACTGCATCCAGAAATGGAACATACAAATTCTGCTTCAGCAATGAATTCTCTACTTTCACACACAAAACTGTGTACTTTGATTTCCAGGTTGGAGAAGATCCACCACTGTTTCCTAGTGAGAACAGAGTAACTGCACTTACCCAGGTAAAAAGCTGTTGTGTTTGACAGCAGCTGTTAGGTGGAGGCAATGTTGTTTGTTTTTTTTTTTTCAAGTTCAGCTGCATTAGATATCTAGATCACTTTTGAAAATCAATGGATTGGGCCACTGGTGAGGCCCCACCTTGAGTACTGTGTTCAGTGTTGGGCCCCCCACTACAAGAAAGACACTGAGGTGCTGGAGCATGTCCAGAGAAGGGCAACAGAGCTAGTGAGGGGTCTGGAGAACAAGTCGTATGAGGAGCAGCTGAGGGAACTGGGGTTGTTCAGGCTGGAGAAAAGGAGGCTGAGGGCAGAGGGTGTTGATCTCTTCTCGCAAGTAGCAGGTGATAGGACAAAAGGAAATGGCCTCAAGTTGTGCCAGGGGAGGTTTAGATTGGATATTAGGAAAAAGTTCTTCACCAAAAGTGTTATCAAGCATTGGAACAGGCTGGCCAGGGAAGGGGTTGAATCACCATCCCTGGAGGTATTTAAAAGACAGGTAGACGTGGTGATTAGTGACACGGTTTAGTGGTAGTTTTGGCAGTGTTAGGTTGATGGTTGGACTCAATCTTAAAGGTCCCTTCCAACGTAGACAGTTCTATGATCTTAAAATAATCTGAATTACTACAAATAAGCTTTCTTTCTGAAGATAAGATTTACAGAACAAAGAGCAGAACTGAGAAGCGATCATCAAAAGAAAATTTGGGTAGTAACTTATACCTTGAACTCCAGGCCACTATTTTCTTTTTGTTTCTTTTTTGTTTTGCAGGGTTTTTTTGTTAAGGAAACTTCCTTTTAATGCCATCGTTCTGTGCATCTTGAAGTGTGGATTTCATAAACCATAAATGTCTGGGTATCAGAGTTTTCAAAATTTCCAAACTTTGGAGAAACTTTGAGAATTGTTTTTATATTTAAAATGATGGAGTGTTTTAGGAGAGGACGTAAGTTGACCTCTCATGTCAGTTTTTAAAATGGAGAAGAAATTTCTAGCAAGATGAACAAAATTGGCCATATTTAGTTGGCTTCTAGATGTTTGTCTGTTAAAAGACGCTGTGAAGTGTCAGAACATTATTATTGTATTCTCAGGATTTTACAGTTTGGTACCACCTTTACACAATCTAAATCCATCAAAACTTCCCTTGGAACGTTTGCTTCATTAGGTCTCACTAGTTCTTACATTATAGCAATCATCAAACCCCTTGTTTAAACAACCATTAAAGAATGCTGGACAATTGCTACTTTGCTACTGTGGACTCAACGGCATTAATACCGCTTGCCAAATATCCATCTCTCTTGAGTTTACCTCAGAGAAGTCTGCAGTAGCTGAGATCTGAAATGATAGATGACTTGCTGTGAATTCAACTACAGCTCTTATGTCTTTCTTGTCACCTCTGCTTCATTTTGTATTCTAATTCTTGATCCTGTATCATTCCATCTCTTTTCCTTACTTTAGTCTTCATTCTCTTCAGTATGTGTGTTCTGTTATGTCTGTTTTTTCTTTTGCTATCTTGCCATCAGCAGAGGGATTTTGATAACACAGAGCATGTGGTTCCTGGGTCTACCATCTCTGCAGTCTGTTGCAGTATGTGGGAGAAGATACCTAAAAAAATTGTTTATCACTGGGTTGTGGCATACAGGATTCAAATAAGGTATTTAGGAAAGAGAAAGTTAATTTTCAGAGTACAACACATCTTTGTTAAGAAGGTTCTCGTTGCAGTTTTCCTGAGGCTTCTGGCATGACCAAATTTCAACAGCCTTTCACAGGGACAGTGAAAGGTAAATCCCTAAAACCAGAGTGACTTTGTGTTTAAATAGCTTGTGCAGCTAGGAGAGCTGTGTAACTTATCAGTGAGACCAATGGTTTGTGAAGCCTCTTCCAGAATTTTGTTGAGTAGAATTATCTTAGAGTTGTTCAGACACCTGTCTTGAAAGTTATCAGCTTGAAAAGAGGGTTAGACACAGATATAAGTAACTGAGAGTGGTCCCATCAGGGTGTTAAACATTTCCTTTTATAATAGATAGTGCTGTTTGATCTTCAGGAAGTACTAATTTTAAGCCACAAAATAGAAAAACAAACTGTGACTAGAAATAAGGTATTTCGAAGTGAGGGGCTTTTACTTGCAGAAGATAAACTGAAAGTGGAAGAAGTCTATGTGAAAAACGATGTAGGGCTTGGAAAACTGGCAGTACTCTTTTTTAATGAAAAATTACAATGACGGTGAGCAATTTGTTAAGTATTTGTTGTATGATTATGTTATGGAGCATTCAGGAGCACTGAAAGGTAACAGAATTGTCTTTTTTCTAACCACTTTTTGTGTACATGACAAAGAGAGGGGTCCTTTGCCAAAAGAACACTTTACGTTCAATAATGTAGATTTTTAGGATGTTGTACAACTTGAGTGGGAATTATGCAATGAAGAAAGTCATACTTGTGAAACGCAGAAGCATTTAGTGTATCCTATGTGTATCTTAATGTTATAAGCAACTGTGTGATTTCCTGGTATGTGTGGAATTAACAACTGGGAGATCACTGACATTTCAAAGGTGTTTCTGATGTTCATTTAGAACCCAAATATACATGAATTTAAGATTTGTTTAGTTGTTCTCCGAGCTCGTTGCCTTTTATTAGATCTGCAGTTTTACACGCTTCTGTATTTAACAGCCTGTCCCATTCATGCGTATAGAGTTTGATCAATGTAAGTTAAATTTTACTGCATTTACAGTATTTCAGTGTGCCAATGGACTGAGTTAATCCTTAGCTGGCAAAGTTACATGAATCCTGATTTTAAATATCAAACCACAAAACTTCACAGAAAAAGCACTATAAGGGTTCTTAATTCAGTGGTGTGTGTTTGTTTGCTTCTCTAGATGGAGTCTGCGTGTGTTTCAATTCATGAAGCTTTGAAGTCTGTCATCGATTATCAGACTCACTTCCGCTTGAGGGAAGCGCAGGGCCGCAGCAGAGCAGAGGATTTAAACACGAGGGTGGCCTACTGGTCAATAGGGGAAGCAATCATTCTTCTTGTCGTTAGTATCGGGCAGGTATTTCTCCTCAAAAGCTTCTTCTCGGATAAAAGAACCACAACAACCCGTGTTGGATCATAACTCGTAGTGGTAATGCTTCAGGTCTTTGTGTGCTACTACTCATCTGTAAAAATCAGTTTTCCAATTAATTGCAGGTACAAAGGATCTGAATATATGCAACATTCAAATGTGTCTACCCCTCATCCCTTAAAAATCACAAAACAGACCCAAAATACTATGAAGGGGATGCATGATCTGAAATATTTTAAAAATACTTTGGAACTTTCTGGGTTTTTTTTTTCCTGATTCCTGTATTAAATATCTGGCAATGACCAGCCTCTCTTCATTTTTACTGATTTTAATCCAAACTGCGTTTGATTTTTACCAGTAAGATTAGCCATCTGCGGTATAACACTTTAAAATAACCCAAAAGTCTAGTGTCTGATACAAGAGCCAATATATATGAAAATTTTATTTGATTTTAATTTTCAGACTGAATGTGTTGGATTATAAAAAGGCAAATGTGATGAACTGTAGTGCAATGTTTTGATTTGCTGTTAAAAAGAATAATCCAATGATACTCCTTGCTTATTTGTGAAATTGTTGCAAGCTTGACACTACATCATGGTGCAAATTCTGCATCAGCCTGGTAAGCCTCCACTGTCAAATATTGATAAATTTTGTATTTTAGTATGTTTGCTTAAACATACATTCTTCTATATTAAAATAAATGCATTTCTTCTTTTACAATGTTTATTTCACTGAAAAAAATGTAAGCTGAGACTACTCAGGAAATCCAGTTTCTGTATTCAAAAATCCAAATTTCCAAGTGTATTTCAAAAACACACAATAAAATAAGGAATCTTGTAAGTTTGTCACTGAAACTGTGCAGTTTCCATACTCATATATGCTGCTGCTGCTTTTTGGATTTAAGACCAGAAGTAGCTTGGTTTGTTAAGCAGCACAGTACCAGCACTGGACAAGGTTATATTATGTGTTAGGCACATACAAAGCTTTTTACTAAATTGTTTTCCTATTAGGAGGCCAATTTGATATTGATACTGCATTGCACGAGTGCTGTAAATTTTACTTAGTCCTGTGTGTGGTGCACTGATACTTGATGGCCTTGTGCATCTAATTGCCACTCTTTTTTGCTAGTGGTCAGGAAATGTTTTAAATATTTCACGTTATCTTTTTGGTAGAGTTATAGTTACATTGTTTCCACTGCTCATGTCTTTAGTAGTTTATGTACTGTAAAGTCTTGTTTTATTTGGATGGGGAAGGTAGTAAATGTATATACCTACAAGTAGCTTGAATTGAGCTGGTCATAAGAAGGCTCACAGTAAACTCCTTCAAATGGCTCTGGAGGAATAAGTAGACTGACCAATTCTTAAGTGCACACAAACTAAACTAAGGTGAAAAAATTTGTCATGTATTACTGGCTAATTCAAAAGATGCTTCTTAAGCAACTTCTCAGCAAGCGGAGAAAGAATGCTGAACCCTTATTGATTGCTTATATTATTTTTAGCAAAAATCTGAAATTACATCTGTAGGTGACACTTGAGCAGTCTGAAGAATTGATCTAAGATGACTTGATTCTAAAATCTTGTGATGGCTGAAAAAAACAAACAAAAGTGCACCTATTCTTTGTTGTGAACTGAACGACTGCCCTTTGGGCACTGAAGAAGAACCTCAGACAGCTCAAAAATTATTTAAAAGGTCATGGGGGTATTAAAAAACTTAATATATGTAAAATGCAGGACTATATGTAATGTTTTTCTATCCTGTACTGAATTTTAAATACTGCAGTCCCATTTTGGAATGCAAGCTTCCCAGAAATAGTTAGACTTACAAAGATAAGAAAACAAAACAAAAAAAAATTAGTGCTTTCTTCTTAAGGTAGAAATCTGTGCCTGCACACAATATTCTTGATTGTACCTATACGCTTTATTCTTGTGTTTCAGCAACTTTTTGTGCTGCATTGCACACAATAATGAAGCAAGTGGTACACTTTGGGTGCAAGTGTTGGATGAAAACATGATTTGATTTTGATAGTGTCCACTATTATCTTCTGGAATTTAAATATCACTTGTGTAGCTTTAATCACAACAAAAGCATTTGTTTTAAAGATTGAAACATGAAACACTGCTATTTTTTCCACTGAGTTGTTCTGTGTACTGTCAAAATTGGTAAACAATGGGATAAAACACTTAATGGTCAGCCATCACGTACATGTCTCTCTATTCTTTCATAATGTTTGAATGTGTGAAGTGGGACTATTCAGCTCAGCATTACTCCCACTGCAGAGGTTTAGTGGACTTGACTTTTGCATTGAAGTTAGGTATCCGAACAAATCCTCTGGTATCCTGCTGCATAATATGCAGCAATAGCTTAAAAATGCCTTTATTTTTGTGTTATTAAAAACATGGCACAAATACACATGTTTAAACATAGTTGTATATAGTTTTTAAAATAAGTGACTGAGTAGGATATAATAAAACACGTGCTAACACGCAGTGGGTGAAGAAATGCATTGTGACTTTTGGTTAAAGCTGCATTTTTTTAATATATGAAAACAATAGTTTGGTTAATGGTGTGATACACAAGTAAACGCCCTGCGTTAAAGGGGATATAACTGTTTTTAAATGTTAAAGGCCCTGGGTTTCAGCTATTCCTTGGATGTTTTATGTTTACAGAAGTTCTTTTCTTGTCCTGAAATGTCAGTTCTTGTTTTAGTTTGGGGGGAAAAAAAAAAAGTTTAGTTTGAATAAGACAAAAAGCAGACCCTGTGAATATTGTATGGGAAAATAAAAATTAATATATGAATGTGGTCTGATTGTTTTGTTTGCCTGTGGGAATGGGGAGCATCATTCTTCAAAAAAAGCTTTGAATGACAGTTTGAGTAGTCATCTTGTATTTTAAACCATTGCAGTTAATCTGCCACCTGACACTTGGATTATTGCTTTTATTGCTGTACATCAAGAAGTGTACTGGTTCACAGCTGTTCATAATTAGCTGTGCTTTCAGGTCACTGGAAAAACTCAAGTTTCAGCAAGACAGCATGGTTACTGGCTCTTTGCCCAGCATGTTAGCAGTGCAGGCAGTAATATTCATAAATCTGTTCCTGTTCAAGTGGAATTCAGAGTATTTGACTACAGATGCCAGGAATGATGTAGGACCTGCTACATCTTTCATCTTTTCACATTAATTCTGTAGATCCAATGTTAATATGGAATGAGCTAGACAGGTGCATCCAATTAGTGTTGTCTAATGATGGGATATAAGCTTCAAATATTATGTAATAACTAAATGTATGATTTTTATATTGTGTAGCTTCTTGCTGAATCTTAGCACATACCAGCTAAGTTTAAAAAACCATATAAAGTAAGCATCATTGCTTTGTGTGGGCACCTTCCAAAATGTTTTTTTCTTTCTGTTTGTGTTTTCTCCTATGTCAGTTGCTGTACATTCAAAATTTTTCAAGAATATTTACAGTACTTCAGCTAAAAAAGATTTTTTTGTCTAGAAGTATGGCTAAATTCTGCTTTTTCAGCGATGCATTATTGTTATGGCCAAGTAGGTTTTTTGGGGTTATTTCAGGTGCCTGGCACCCAGGATTTTAAAGTAGCTTAAGACAATTTGTGGTCTGAAGCACTTTTCCACTGGAAGCTGAAAATCTTGCAAAAAAAAAAAAAAAATTCAAAAATTAGACAAAGTGAAAAGATGAGTCAGCACATCAGCTGACTTGTATGATGATGAAGGCTTTTATCAAGGAGGAAGTAGAAATGCCACTGCAACCCATTAAACAGTTTCTTGGGCTGCCAGACTGATAGAGGACACAACTGCAGCAGGGACACCACAACTTGGATTTTGTATGACT